CTCACCCTTGGGTCTGCTCTCAACGCATTCCACCCGAACCCGGTCAGTCCGACTCGCAGCCCCGAGCACAGACCTCACTGCCTCTGTGTCCGGGTTTGATGAGGCAGGGGGTTAAAAAAAAAAAGGAGGCAAGATGAAAAGATGGAGAGGGAGGGAGAGGCTGTACACTTTCCTACCCCCCCCACCTCATCTGCCCATGCGGTCAGAAGCGCTTAGCCCTCGCTTGGGGCTGATGTACGAATCGATGAGGAGCACTCTCCCATTCGCAGATGGGGGGTTAGGGTGCGACAATAAGGCCGTAATCTGTAAGCTGCATTTCAAAGCACCTTTCCTGTACGACACGCTTCCCAGATAAGCAGATGAGCAAACGCTATTTATAACCACGAGACAAAGCCACCAGATAGCTTAGTGCAGATTAGCGGCCCGGCTAACGAGGGGCGCTCTGCATTGCAGCTGTGCCAGAACTGCGACCGCAGCTGCACATGGAGGGCCACTGCGCTGCTGCCGGGATCGAGCCTCTGCAGAAGCTGCCCTGGATCCAGGGTTTCAAAACACATCTCCTCTCTCTGAGACCATCCCAGGAAGCAGGGGGCAGAAGGCTGGGGTCAACCTGGATCACAGGGCACACAATTATACACTATTGGCAATTAAGAGATAGTAATTAGCTTGACTGCATGTCTTTGGGCTGCCAGAGGAAATTGGAATTCCAGCAGGAGACTCAGGCAATGCATGGGAGTAACATGCAAACACCCCATAGAGAAAAGACGGGGGAGGGGTTCAGGCACACAACCTTGGAGGTGTGAGGCAACACTGCTGCCCAATGACAGAACAAGAATCATTTAAATCAATTTCTGGAGGACCAGGGCGCTCTCGGTTACTGCGGATCGGCTGAAGGGTAATCGTGTTGGCAAGGCGCTGTGGTCAGTGCTCTGCCTCGGCACGGCCCTGCAGGACGTGACCAGGTCTAAATCCGAACCGCAGGCCCAAGGGAATGGAGAGAAGAAAGCCGTCCAAGTCTCAAAGAGAGAGGAGAACACAACCTGAAAATCACAGAGATATCTGACAGCTGGAAATCACAGTGACAACAATATCTGACAGCTGGAAACCAGAATGACACTGATAACTAACAGCTCAAAATCACAGTGACACTGATAACTAACAGCTGGAAATGACAATGACAAATATCTGACAGCTGGAAATTGCAGTGATACTGATATCTGACAGCTGGAAATCACAATGAAACAGATAACTAACAGCTGGAAATCAGAATGACACCGAAATCTGGCAGCAGGAAATCACAATGACACTGATAACTGACAGCCGGAAATCACAATGACACTGATATCTGACAGCCGGAAATCACAAT